TTAAATTTTTATGAAAAAAAAATTCATTTTTATTTAACTCGACGTTTGTTAATGCGAAATAAATAGCAACTTAATTCGAATTAGTTTAATTCTGAATTAAATTTTAATTTCGTTTTCTGTAAACTGGCTCCTAAAAAAATTATCTTGAAATTATGTCTAGTTTACAATCCGATAATTTACGACCCCACCTGCTTGCGGTTCGAAAGGTCGGCATCCACAGCAGAGGCTGGTTTATTGAGGCGTCATTTTCACTTTGTTCGACTGTACCTAAAGCTTGTATCATTGTTTGATTTTTTATAGTACATTATTGAGACAAAACTAAATTTACCAAACTCTGATTTTGTACAAAAAAGATGTTAAAGCACGAAAAACTGGACTAAATTTGGGACAATAACAGAAAGTTTTTTTGTGGTTTTTAGAGCTCTGATCCAAGTATATTTTTAGTTTAAACATTAGAAAAGAAAACAATTATTCTGATGAAATAAAGATAAAAGGAATATGAATAAGTTTTTTTTTCACATTAACTATACCTTTAACTGAAACCTTAGAATTATATTGAGTTTCAGTGAATTAAAAATTAAAACAAAATTGTCCAATGTAAATGTTTAAAATGAATTTAATGTCTAAAATTTTTAATACTTTCACAAAATTATGTTATGGTTTTCTGTACAAAAAATTTACCTAAACAAATTTCATATCTATTTCATTTTATCTAAATTATCTATACGACTATAATAAAAATGAGAGACTAATGTTCAACATTTATATATTTTCTGAATTTTCTAGAATTATGTATCTGAATTGTGGTGGTCGAACAACTTCTTGAGAATTTTTATAACGTTTTTACATGCATTTAAATACTAATACCTACCTAAATTTATACTAATAATTTGGATTAAGTGGGCATTAGCATGACATAAACCTTGTTAGTGTCAAGTAGTAAAAATGTCAAAACTTACACAAAACAAAAAAAATATTATACTGTTAAACGGGAGCAGGGTTTAGCCTCGGCTATAGTATAAAAGCAGTTGCAAACTAATAGAATTTAAACAAAAGCACAATTTTAAAAGTGAAGAAGAAATAGAAACAAGAAGGGAGTAAAATCTCTTTTCAAAAATGCTTTGAAACTTCAAAAAAGACAAATTTAGACATTGAAAAAATTAGAAAAAGCTTATTACTTGATTTTTACAGTGTACGTCATTGTAGATACATTTTATGGATTAATTTAAAAATCAAATAATTATTTAAAAAAAAAGTTCAAAACAAGGTGGCTTCTATTGATTTGTGGAGTACACACTCGAAACCTGTGTCTGTTTCTATCGGTCCTAATTTTCGTATAACTACTTTTCAAGTATCATATTACGAAAATTTGATCTGTCTGGAATTTTAGGTGCTTTTCTAAGTACGTAGTTTTCAGATTTGAGTTTCAGTTGATCAAATTACCTACATTTTTCGATTGAATATGAATCTAGTTTACATTTTATACATGAGAAACTGTTTTTTTGCTTAAAATATTTACTTTTCGACAAAAATATACTAAGTGACATAGAAAATATAACACCCAGTATTTATAAACAATATATCGCAATAATTTTGTAAAATTGTTTTGATTGAGACAATAAACGATTAAATTTGCAGGTCAGTAAATCACTGTTTTAGCTGCATTAATAAACTGCCGGACTCTTAGAGGCTGAACCCATAAACAACGACAATAAATCTTTTCCATTGTAAACGTCATTTCTTATTCAACATTATATTTAGTTTGAAGTGAAGCTCAGTTACCGATTTTACGTTCAATTGAGTAAATAAAAAAATATTACGAAAAATTTAACATAACACTTTAATTTATTGATAGCTTAATTCTTTTTAATAAAAAATAAATAAATAATTTAATATCATTTTTATTCATTTGAAACAAACTTTGACAACAAACACATCGATTTTATAAATATTTAACAATTTAATTTTACTATAGCAAACAGAAGATAGAATATAAAAAAAATTGTAGATTATTATTATTGTAAATTGTATACAGGGTTATTCATAAATATGAAGCAATATTTGAACCTCAAAAATGACCTATAAAATGATGTTAATTTAAATAATAACTCGTGTCCTATCTCTACTGATAAGAATTTTACAGCCCTCGGAATGTGGGTATGGAAATTTGATTTTTTTGTAATAACTTTGGAACTATTTGACCAAATATTATAAAATTTGGAACATTTTCTTGTGACAACATACCTTTTGAACTGGTAATCACGAAAACCGGATACATCTACTCAATTTCCGG